GCCTGATTTTAGTAGATAATGTGAATCTGATTCAGATGAAATATATGTAGACTCAATTCTTTAATGGGATGCAGCCTTAAGAATGTCTTTGTCCTTTGATGTTGGGTGTCGGTTCTTATAATTCTTCTAATTTGTTTTATTCCATTCTTATATTGCCTTGGCTACCGTCTTGCATTACCAGTGGTTCTGTTGCGTGGTCAGTCAGCCCACTTGCAGCACCTATGTCCCCTACTCAACCTGTTTCAGTACCAACCCGGGCTCTGCCCTCATCACTGCTCGAGGCCAGGGTTGAGTCAGCCACCCTACTAACACCAAGAGAGCCTGCTCCAGTGCCTGGAGCCCTGGCAGGGATACACCTCAGCCATCGCCCGTCAACTAGCGGTGGGCAAGCCAGCAGCGGTCATGACAGCGGGGTCCGTCTTTGCGACAGTTCGGGCGAACTTTCTTCCCTACATAATGACTCTGCTGGTAGTGAATGTTCAGTACAAGCAGCTGCTTCAAACCGACAGCAGAATCATGAGGCACAACAATATATGATTATGCCACACCACCAATACCGGCATCAATATCAGCATAATTATTGCCATCATCATCATCACCATCGCTTTCATCTTCTTCATAATCAACAGCCCCAGCACCAACAATCTGTACCACGGCACTCGCCTCTTCGTTATTTCTCGGCTATTTCTCCTCGGTTGGCCTGCCAACAAACCTTTCTCTTTGAGATGCCAGACAATTCAGAGACGATTACCCAAGCCTCCGATAAAGCCTCACATTCCGCCAAAACGCCTAATTGGATGACTGAAAATGTGTCTGCCACTCAGCTACCCTGTTTACCAGTGAACACAGCCCTGCCCAACGTCTGAAACATGCCGTTCCACTGTAGATTTGAAGGTGTGTACATGAATTAATGTCTTAATGAGCAAAAACTTTCAATTCACTCCATGTTGAGCTTCAATAAGGGCTAAAGCAATCTTAATTGAGTTGCCTCGAGCTATACTAGTCGTGCCGTTAAATGTAAAGGTCTTATTCTAATGTTACAGTGGTTGTCAAACTTCTCTCAATATTAGTTCGCCATTTTTTTCATCAAGGCTTTAAGATAACCTTTGCTATAAATGAAAACCCACGCTCTACTAACATAAAGCAGGCCCTCATAAACTTTAAAATTCTTAGAAGTTGTTTGACCTTGTTTTCGCAACTCGGTCATATTGGTAGGAAGACTTAAAGAAACACACCTACTT